GGAGCAAAAGATAGAGGCTTTAGCCAGAAATCTGACTCAAACTATAACAAAGGAGAAACCTGATTCCAAACTGAAAAGAAAATACTGTAAAATATGTGACTCTGGAAGTCATTCAGTATTTGATTGTACCAAAAGACATCCAAACTCCAAAGTTCCTGGAGCCACAGTATGCTTCTATTGTGCCCAGGACACTCACTGTGTAAATGCCTGCCCCTCCCTTAAGGGTAGGCTAAGTTAGCTTTTAAGCTAACTTGCATGAATGTATCTGTATAGTAAGTCCAAGCCACCACAGGTACATCATATCCTTCCAAAGAGTGGCTGGTGAAACCATATGTGTTTGATGTGAATGTAAGAAAAAAAACTAATTTATTTTTCTTTACTGAAGTATTCCTGTCCCATTCCTGATGTTTCTCATCTTATATCTACCAGATGTCCTGAGCTGTTTAAGCTTTGATTCCTGATAAGCTTAAACTACAATGCTCAGTGGTAGTGATGACATCACCACAGCAGAGCTTTATTTAATTGTTGATATGTTCTGGATTACCAGTGACCTGCTTTACTCAAGCAATGGGGTTCATTGTGAACATTGGCCTGATCAACCAATGTTTACGGACATGAAGCCTGTTTACGCTTTGGGAAACAAGTCTATTGAAATCCAAAGGACATTGCAATGTAATATTATAGTTTTGTCCCTGCTTCTGTTTAAATGAGGTGGATCAACTTGTGACCATCTGGGGGTGAGTGCCACAATGGACAAGAGCTCTGTCCATTTGCTTCATCGAAGTGTTTTCCTACTAGCAACTTTGTAGGTTCCCCTCATACCCCCAGTTCCACTTTCAAGCAACTGTCCCAGCTTGTGACCCCATCCACTGCAATGGATGTGCCCATGAAGTTTGAATCCTACCTCGCCTCCCTAACTGCCTTTGTACCAAAAGGGCAATGGTGACTGAAGTTGAATCATTCTCAGTACAAATGTTATGAGATATTATCTGAATCCTACCAATCCAAAGCTGATTGTGAAAGGATATATTTGTTGATCATACGTTTGATTGATTCAATCTCATTTGACAACCCTTTATTTTGGCTAATTCATATCACATGTGTGGTATTCAAAATTTATTATTGTACTATGTGAATAACCAGTCTTATTTCCAGGACTGTAAAATTTTTATTCCAGCCCAGCATGAACCAAGTGATGACCTTCAACCTAATGAACATTGTACACTATGCTATATAAAAGTAATCTGAACAGATGAACACTATCATGATTGCTGTTCGATTAAAGTGACTTATTTGGTGTACCCAATGAAGCAACGATATTGGGAGCCACTCTTAATATTGACACTGAGAATCATGACTTATGAACAGAGGCATGTACCCTTTACCTTTGAGAATTGATTCTGCAGCTTTGTGTTGACTCTGCATTTTGAGGAAACACACAAAGAATGGCTGACAATCTCAATTTTATATTGTACTAGATACCATGCCATATACTAAACACATTCCCCTATTATATTGGGGAACCAGTGACAATGACTGTATCATCAATGAATATGATGGTAAGAACGATTGATAAACTTAGTGCAGACAGTATGGATTTTACTTGAAACCTTCACAAGAACCATGACCTACAAGAGAAAGATGAAAGACACTGATGCTGCTAGAGACATTTTTGTAATTAAACATGATTGTTTATTAGATTATGCTAGCCTTTTTATGTTATGTATTTCAGGTGAGAAATTGCAAATGATGTGTGAAATGCTTATTTTAGGTAATGTGTTTATATATGATTTTGCATCTTTAAAATTCCATAGTTCGAGGACGAACTGTTTTTAAAGGGGGAGCAGTGTGACGATCCTTCAGATTACTTTGAGCATGGTAATGGAATTGCCTTGAAGGATTGTCACTTTGTTTTCAACTTTTTGCTCTTCACTTTATCAATTGTGTTTTTAGTTACTCAATATTTCAAGAGTTATAAAATAATTTAAATTCTGTAAAAGGGTAGTCTGTATAACTACTTTGGCTATACTCTTAAAGTATGGTTAAAGTTTAATCATTTTACTCTATATTCATATTTAGGTTAATAACCTTCTCCTGTGTTTTTCATGTAATATTATTTACAGGATTAATGTCAACATATATATTTTGTTCATAATAAGAGTTTAATGTGAAGGTTTTCGGCCAAGTTTCATGTTTAATGCTACGTTACAAACTTTTTAGAAAGGGCAGTTGTCTGGGTTTGTCTACAAAATCCAAAGTGAGGCTTATTAAGCTTGATTTAAGTAAATAAGTACGTTTTAAGTGAATTGTCTTTTTCTGTGCTTTTATGATTCGAATTCAAGCCGGCCAGACATGGAGAACATTTTGTGGAATTTTAAACATTAAATCGTCACTGAAATTGGATATTTATATTGCCGCAGATAAGCCAACTTAGGTGTACGAGTTGGTAAAGGTAATTGACTTGATTTAATTGTATTTTTGCAGAGTTTTAGTCTTTGAAAAGAAGTATCTATACACTTGATTTTTTTCTTTAATTTTATTTAGTTGCCTTGTGAACATCCCATGTTTAAATTGTCCCAGGGATTGTTAAGGAACATTTGACAAGGTTAACGCAAAGTTACACGCAGAGTTTTTGTCTTAAAGAACCTATGAAACTTATTAACCAGCGTCGAAAGCAAGTTCCCGGGGTTCTTTATGAAACCTTCCATACAACATCCCCACAGGGAATCGTTTAGGAATATTTGACAAGGTGTACGGAAAGTTACGGTCTTTACGAACCTAATGTAACTTGCTCTAAACCAGAGTCAACTGCAAATTCCAGGGGTTCATAGACATCTCTATACGACATTCCCCCCCCCCAATCCAGTTTGGGACTGTATTTAGTTTGTTCACAGGGTAAATTTTATTGATACATTAGAAATACTCCTTTGTATATTTGTATGTTAAATTCTGGGTTATTTAAAGGTGAAATCCCGGGCTTATGGGACCATTTTCAAACAACTGATCATTGAAGTACTTTTAAGGGTCATGGTCATTCGAAGCCCATTTCGGACTTAAGACACCCCCTCCCCTTCTAGTTTTCCATGTCTGGTCTAATTCTATGTTAACCACATTCTAATTCATTATAGATACTAGAATATTTTCAAAATACTGTTTCCTGTTTACTTGCCAATTGTACCATAGTCTGAGAGTGGAAAAATGATGTTCTACTTTTCATGTGAGTAGTATAGAGAGCTGATTTCAACCCCACCAGGGATTATATAAAATTGCACTGTTGAGTTACATTGTTGGAAAAAGACACATTTTAGGCTTTATTGCAAATTGTTTAACTGAATTTCCATTAGCGGCGCTGTTTTATGCATGTTTGGTTTGAGAGATTATTTACTTGATATACCATCTCGACAGTACTAAATTGTGTAATGTTTGTGTAGATTAGTAAATAGAAATAGAGTCGTTTTTATACATTATATAAAAATCCACAGAATATCACTTCTTGTGTTCAATTGTTTATATATATGTTAGAAAATTCCCCTTTCATTTTATCTGAAGTAGATTCTGGATTCAAAATAGATTCCGACTAAATTCCAGGTGACTTAAGTGATACTAACATTCAAGCAACAAGCTTTATCTTGGCTCATATTTGCTAAGGGCTTCTTTGAATAACAATCACTCACAATAAGTCATACATATATTTTCCCAGAATTTTGCAATAGTGCAAAGATAAAGTACAATCCAGGATCTTACTTTCTTATTTAACCCTTCTCTTACTGATAATATTAGTGAGAATTTCATTCACCCTGGTTCCTAGTCGTTACCCCAAACATCATTTACTTCCAATGTTTTCTTACTTGCTTGTTTAAATGGTGTACAAGTAATATTATCCCCTGATGAGTTTGACAGACTCTTGATTTGAAATAGCCCAACTTTAATTCTTACAAACTTTCCCACTTTTATTGTGACCAGAGAGCTTAATATACAGCTTGAAGTCCATCGTAGCACTCCAGTGGCTAGGACTTCCACCTGGTTATACTCACACCCTAACATTATACTTATTTGATACAACTGAACACTGGGCACATTCAGAATCTGGAGTCTGTTGCCATTTGCCTTTATGAGACATACAACTTACATTGAAAACTGACAAATCTTACTTAGTCTATATTCAGATTTTGTTATCCCGTAATTGTTATCCCGAAATTGTCCCACTTCATCCAAATTATTTTTATCCCAGAATTTATCCCTAAATTTTTATCCCTAATTTATCCCTAAATTTTCATCGCAAAATTTATCCCAATTTGATCCCATTTTGTTATGATACTGTGAACACGGACGTTGTTCACATAAATAGGGATACACATTTCAACTTTTACTTGAACTTGTCCCGAAACTAAGTTAATGAAAACATCAAATCAAACTATTGATTCTTAGACTGTATTCTGTTTACGACCCCCAAACCACGCTACCACACGAGGGTCGTGACAATATTTATGGCAGGTGTCAAGACATTGAAATATTAATCATAATCAATTCACTTTCCTTGATTGAGAATTCCAATAAAACAATTAAATTGTTGAAATCTGCTTTTTCTTCAATGTTGAAAATAAGCATTCTGTTCATGATCTGTTCATAACACTTATCCGTCCACAGCACAGTTACATGTGGCCAATTAGGTAAATCTATAAGAATACGAGTAATCAACTAAAATTAAACAGATCTTGTAGCTTTCCATTCATTGGACCCAGGTTACATTTAATAATTTACATACATATTTATCGCAGGTGTCAAGACATTGAAATATTAATCATAATCAATTCACTTTCCTTGATTGAGAATTCCAATAAAACAATTAAATTGTTGAAATCTGCTTTTTCTTCAATGTTGAAAATAAGCATTCATGTTACTCAGGCAAATATTTTGTGTATTGACTTTAAAAATGTTTTCCTTCTCATTGAACTTGCAGCACACTTCCTCTTTCATTGACATGTTCATTTGGCCAATTCATTCTGATATCTCAGCTTATACTTCATGACATAACGCTGTTACAATGTTTGATGTCCATATTCTAAATGGTAAATCATATTCACTGTGGTCAATAAATCATGTCTCATATATCAATGTAGACATGTGATGGTCATTTGGATATCTCCATCAATTTGTACTGACTGCATAAGGTATACCAGATGCAATGTGGAAGAGGTCCATTAATGTCAGATGGCATCATGAGTCATTATGTGACATCACAATACTGTGTCAAACATTGTCATTGATTTACTGATAACTTCATCCTGCAATAAAAGAAAAAATATTTGTTGTTGAGTTAACATATGAATACCTCTGTACGACACATGCATCCTTTATTTACAGTTTTAATGTATTCGTAACAATACACAAATGAATGAACAATAATACAAATCAGAAAATGCTTAACCATTTGATTTGAACAAGTAAGCCACTATAAAAATACAACCCTCTTTAATTTTGATATAACTGTATATCAAAGTAAACGATGAAAGTCAGAGAATAACTGGGCATAGGTGAATTTAAATAGAATCTCATGTCTTGTGTAGTGTTCAAGTCATGAACAGTGATGTCCTAATATTGCATCTAACATTGAGATGTAGTGAAATCATATTTCTCTCAATGCAAACTCTCATACCAATATTCAAAAGAAGGTAGTATTTTTGTGTTACAATAAGTCAACTCTAAAATGCAGTAGTTTCAACAGATCTTGTCTTAGGCCATAGCCTTGATCCAACATGATCAGTTAAATTGACATATGTTTGTATTTAATATTAAGCTTACTATCAAGCATCACACAACTAAGCAGTATGATTTAACAAATGACAAAATGATGTTTTTACGGTGGTTCGAATGTATAAATGGGACAGGTGAGTGGGATATTGTTCTTTTTATAGAAATGTAAGCCAAGGTGCCATACAGGTAAGACCAAAATATATCAAAAATACATATATTCACAATTGTCACAAGTGAACCCCTCCTTGAATTTTTCAAAAAGTGACCCCCCCCCCCCCTTGGCAAATCCTGGCTACGGGCCTGATTCATATGTACACTGCTCTCCATGAAAAGTTTGGCAACTGTTTTTTAGATAGCATAGTCAATGTTTGAATGTTAAATTACTTCCTGAATTACAAGAGTTTATGACTTTGCTGATTTTTAAATCGTCAAACATGACAAGGTGATACAAAGGTGGATTTCCTATTGCTAAACTTATGGAGGGTATACAGAAGGAACATGTTTAAATACAACTAGACATAAGGAAACAAATGTAGGAATCGTTTAAGATTGGCAATGAGCTCAATGTCAAAATTGTTTAAGATTGGCACTAGCCATAGTTTTCTCCTTAAGAGCATCATGAAATATTGTGTTTTTTATTGTCAGCTATGAGTGGATGAACTTGCTTATGGACTAGATTTTGTCTGTCATTTGAAATTGAATGCCATATTAGTGCATGAAGTTATGTATTGGTTATCTTGTATTTATATTATTCTTCAACATATATTGTAATGACTTATGTATGAATGAAATATCCCTTAGTGTTATGGTCCTGAATTGTGATAATGGAACTTGAGTGGCTGGGGAGGGGGGTATTAGACTGTTTCTTTTATGTTGGATTAAGTTTGAGATGGTTAGGAATTGTTTTCCTTATGACTGGTTTATTCTGGGATGTTTTCTTTTTCTTCCTCAGTTCTGTAACATTCGTTGGTCCTACACTTTTGGCACTTTGTACATTTAAAACAATGATCACAGTTAAAGAAGCAACTTCTAATTTGAGAAGTCGGTATAATACACCTTATACACTATGAAGTATATATATACAGAACTGATTCAGGTATGATTTGCAGCAATGATGAGAAATGAAAGCCTAGGGAAAATATTTCAAGATTAGTATATGAATAGAACCAAGGAAAAAACAAAGCATTAAATTCATTCCAAACTAAAACAGTGTGTTCTATGGTATTAATGAGAATCAGATAATAGATGGCATACCACTAATTTAGACTCCAATATATGTATCAAATGCCAATATAGATGTCATTGCACGACTATCCTATTGGAATAAAAATTGAATCGTCTTGATTAACAATAACAACTCAATATCATTCAAAGGAATAGTGTATGGGGAGATTATTTTTCTCATGAAACTCTATAGCTATTATAGCTTTTCTGCTATTTTAACACATGTTACTGATAATTCTCTGAATATATGCAAATTTGGATGATAACGTCAAAGAAAGTTGCATCATACATTGTACATATACAAAATGTCTGAAAATTCTAGTTCATATATACCTTCCTACAAGTATCCATGAATTCATCTATTGAGATTACCCCATCTTGGTTAAGATCCATTTTCTGAAATAAAAAAATCATTAATTTTTTAAGATAATTCATTGGTAACCCCATGCAAACCTGCACAATATGATCAAGTTTAAGGAGATAAACCCTAAAAATGCTTGTTACATTAATTCGAGTGAAAGGTGAATTTAATATAATGTTGAACTTAATACACAGGAGTTGATATTTTGAACACTAAGGAATCTGATTATATCGAAATATGTCTTATAAATCCCTCAGGTCCTTCTGAGACTTTCCAGTTTATGAATTATAAAGAAAGCAATCTTCGTATTTCTGTAAGGAATGTTGCAAATAAGCAATGCAGGATATATAGTTGGTACATCGATATTTAATTTAAATGGATATGATAAATGTCAATGGATATGTAATATTCATGAAATGTAAAATAGTGACACCCTGCAGAATCTGAATATTTCCTGGAATGAACATCTCCCATATTTAATAATGTGGAGGCATGGTGTCTGAAATATAGTTAATTATCATATATGATTCCTAACTTATCTCATTTTGGGTTATTGCCCTACTGTTACTGTCTCAAGATACCCCTTTGGCCAGTGAGCTAACAAGGGAATCGAGATATGTAATGATATTACAATAACCTATTTATATGAGCCTAAAGTGCAATAAGTTCATATATTATTTAGGCTGAAGTAGTTGTTGTATACCAACATGCAGAAAATTCCTGCAAATCTATTAAGTGTCAGGGATTATTTTTTAGATCACTCACATAATAGTCTTGGGAATATACCAGTAAGTATTTCATATTGATCGAATAGGGAATTCATCTTAGGTATTAATTGTTATTAATGCAGTTATACAATGTTGCCCTGATGACTGCTTTATAAGATTAATAATTTCTTACTTCAAATATATTTTCCACATGATCTCTTGCTGTCGTTTCCTCAACTGAAGGCTCTGCATACCGCCCCATCATGTCATATATAGCAGACACAATATCAACCATTTCATCTTTTGTTACAATGCCATCTCCATTTATGTCATACAGCCTGGATATACAGTTAATATGATTTAAATATGAACTCATAAATTCGACATTTCCTCTGAACAAACTTATCTTTGTTAACAATATTTCTGAATATTTCTATTGTTGTTTATCTTCTATGTTGCTTAAATTCTGACAGCATACCTGAATGCCCATTGTAGTTTGTCATGTATGGAACCACGAGAGAGAATGGACAACCCTACCACAAATTCCTAAAGGTGAAAAATGTACATGATAAAACTTTGATAAAATGATAAAACTTTGATATTAGGATTGAATCTCAAAAATGTGTTTGTCAAACAGGATTTGACAAGATAATCTCTCTTATTATTGCAATTAACAGTTGTTGTAAGTTAGGTTCCAAATGCAAATGTGTTTCTATAGGTATGTCTTACCTCAAATGTGATTGAACCTTTGTGCTCCTGGTCGAATGTATTAAACACATAGTGTGCATAAGAACTTGAATCTGAAATAATCAGATGATAAAAATGTGTCTTGTAGATACACAATATTAAATGCTATCCTATGCTGAATATATTTATTTATCAAAATGTTAATTCTAATACATATTTAACAATTTACTTATGCTGATTTAATCATATTAATAAAAATATATGGGGACTACAAGCAGATATGAAAATCCCCGTGCAACAATCATTCAATCTTGTGATGTATTAATATTCAAAGATAACAAATCATATCCTCATGTCTCCCATAAATTTATCAGGAGACAATTTGAAAATGCATAATGTGCAATTTTAAATACCATAGCTACTGAATAAAAATTCATAATTATGAACAAAAATTTTAGGACAATGTGTGTTTATGCAAGTGTTAATCCAAAATATGATTATCAAATTTCCAGGGGCAAGACGAACCTCATGTGTTGTAACAAGGAGGGGCCATTGAACCATTGCACCTCCCTCAGGCAATATAAGATGCTGTTTAGATAAACCACTAACAGACTCAGTCTGTTTTGAGAATACATCAATTACCAAAATTATTTTGGGAATCCTCAAATATGGATTTTGGAACAATGAAGTGGAAAAATACTGTGTAAAATAGTCTCAGGAGATGATTCCTGAAATATTTATATCTGAAACTCTCCCTAGACTTTATAAAACCCATGATTACTTTTAACTGCAAACTTATCATGACAATGCCATGCAAAACCATTATCACCTTTTTTTCTTATAAGTATTAATAAATGATATAATACAACAAAAATAATAAAGTTTTAGTTTGGTTACAAGAAATATCAATTTAAATAGCACCAGGCAGTATCAGGATAAATTTCCATTTTTCAGAATTGCAGACAACAATTGACTATATCAAACTTGAGTTTACATCCAACTGACTATTTCAAATAATGGTTTGGCTACTTAATTCAGTTGGCATTGAAAAAATTGTTAAGAAAATTGGTATCTAGATAGTGAATGCTCTTTACCTTAAATACAAGTGTTGCAGTCATACAAAAGTTTCACTGCTTTATAGGGTACTGTGATATAATTGGTAGGAATATTTCTGTACTATTAACTATTCACCATTTTGAAAGATACAATAACGACTGTCAATGTATCATGATACTGACCAGTGATTTATGTGTTCATCCTTAAAACTATCACATATACATATATACCCTACCACCAGTTGGGATTAATGATGCAAATATTTTCTTGAATGATTCCTCAGAGGCTATGCCATTGGGACAGAGCTGCAATTAAACTGATTATTTTAGATTTGTTTTAGATCACACACTGTTCAATATAATCATTAATCAAGAAACATGCTTTTAACATATTTTGAGGCAGCTTTTAAATAAATAATAATTTTTAATACCTTACTTAGACAATACCCTATCCCTACTTAGAGTTCCCATAGAGCATTGATGATTGTTGCAAGAGTATATTATTCAAAGAGCTTGAGATATATTATATATTGTTGGAGTGGCAAACATTTATTAGTATAGAAAACAACTTAATTAATAGCACAACATTTTTCGAATGATTCATCTAAATAGTACGTTTAAAAGCAATCTGCAATCATTCAAACATGGTTAGAAGTCCAAACCTAATAACTTTAATAAGTTTCTCAACACACAAATATTGTAATGATGATATTTGTTTCTCCACATGATAACAAATAACTCTAAAACTACTGTAGGTCCCCAATGAAAAAATATTAATTTTATTATGAATAGTTGGGGATAGTACATATAGACACATTGAAAATCATATTTAAGAAACTGTGATAGCAAGTTGCTACTAGCACAGTTGTTAATAAAGTTAATGCAAACACAGAATGAAATTCTGTGCTAAGCCTAAGCTTTGGTATAGATTGGGGGGGGGGGGGGTCCCAGGTTTGAATTCCACATAGACTTTCAGATAGCACACTTAACTGAATCTGTTTTTGTCTTGCTAGGCTAACTACTAGCCTTGCCCAAGTCAGCCCCTTTCACTTATCTTGATCTCTATTATGACCACCTTGGGGTTGTCGAGTTGGCCGAGAGGGCTTAGGCGTCAGGCACGTTCAGGCTAGGCGATTGGGCACCGTAACCACTAGGTTGCGAGTTCGAGACGCGGTGTGCTCCGTGCGTTTATTCAATTGTAACAATGAGAAAGCCACGTGCTTTACCGACCCAATGTTTATGTCGGTAAATTTGAACAATCAACAACAGCCCTGCAGCGTTTGCTCATTATTATGTACAGTCAAAACAAAAACACTTTTCACAAACAAATTTTGCACAGGTCATTATGAAAATATAACATTTTACCAAATAAATACCAATTAGAGTTTAGTGGATGTGGGAGCATCGATCGGATATGGATACATCGATCGGTGAAAAGATTTTAACAAGAAACGTGAAAAGTTCACTGAAATGATCAAACATGAAAGTTACGATCTAGGCTGAGATTCCGATCAATCACTGAATCAGATCGATGACTATGGACTAGGTCTTCGTGCATATTCATCGCAAATTCAGTTTTAAATCAACATTAAATTGCATGATTTAATTTATATTAATGCCTGCTTATATTTCAATGTACATTTAATTACAGAATGTATTGTAACTCTGAAGAAATACTCGATCAGGTCATTGAAAATTTCAAGTCGTAGACGGGTAGTTTACTTTGGTTATGTAGGTAAACCTGATAACATTTGATTGGTGAATCAGCCTGAAGTCACACATCGTGTCCACGCGATCTGCCAATCTATACAGAATTATGTAAATCTCGAAACCACTGAATAACTTATCATAATATCAGCGATGATGCATTAGATTGTACAAGGCGGTAATAATTCAAGATCAGATTAGTACAAAAATACCGACTTGGGCAAGGCTAACTAACCACATGTGGACATAGTTTATCATTTCCCCAGTTTTCTTTAGAGATACACATACAGGGTGGGCCAAAAAATTTTGCAACCTTTTTAGAAGGCAAAAAAAGTATCATAACATTATGGTATTGACATGAAATTTTTTTTACAGAAACTTAAGGATAGGCATATTTTACCATTCAAATACTTAAGCTAATACTGACTTCAATTTTTTTTGTCAGATGTTTGAATATTAATGGTAAATTGTTCATGTGTCCGAGATTTACCAATTTTCCTAGAAAATGTGATTTTCTATAATTTTATGTGATCATCGATAGAACATTTATTATGTTCACTAAATCTGCTGCAATCTTTGTTAAGTGGTGTATTGTGCGGCTATTCATTAGGACTAATGAATCAAGGGGTACTTTGCTCCAGATATTCCATAGTGACTTTTGGCATATGGTCAGGAGCACTATCCTGCTGGAATATGGGGGAATATCTTTCACTTGGGGCTGAAAGAGGCCCCATTCTTGAAAGATGTCCCTTTTGAAGAAGATTAGTCCTGAGTCGAATGGCCACTCAAAACACCAGATGCCAGCCCCTGGGACTATCACACGTGGGGGCACATGGAGCAATGTATTGTAGTTAATGGTTATACCCCACAAATTATTGATCAACTATAAGAAGTTCTGCAGGATAAGTGGAGACGACTACCACAAGAACTGCTGGATCTCGCCATTGACCAGTTCAGTCCTTGTCTCCATGTGATTGTGAATGTGAAAGGCGGATGCATAGAACATTTGTTTAATAAATAATTAATACAGTTAAACAGTTATAAACAGTTATCGAAGATTGTAGCAGATTTAGTAAACATAATGAATGTGTTATTGTTGATCACATAAAATCATAGAAAGTCAGATTTTCTAGGAAAAATGGTAAATCTCGGACAAATGAACAACTTACCATTAATATTCAAACATCTGACAAAAAAATTTGAAGTCAATATTAGCTTAAGTATTTGAAAAGTAAAATATGCCTATCCTTAAGTTTCTGTAAAAAAAAAATTCATGTCAATACCATAATGTTATGATACTTTTTTTGCCTTTTAAAAAGGTTGCAAAATTGTTTGGCCCACCCTGTATATATAAGGTTTATAAATAAGAAGTCTGTGCTGCTAAAGGAGCAAGAAAAAATAATAGTAAAAAAGGTGAAAAGAAAATAAGAATGGCACATGTATATTTTGTTCCACAAGGCAAATCATCTATGTTTATATGATAGCTACAGTCATGTTAAATCCACACTACAAGTGATTCAGAATGTTAAAGGATACACATTTAGCATCTAATGAGAAACAAAAATGAGCTCTAATAGCACTGCCAAATTCAAAGAGTATTAAGCTGCAACAGAAAAGGACTACAATATTGATCCACTAGATCTACCACCCTCTAAACATCTAGAAGCAGTATTCACTCAAACACTCATCAAATCCAGCTGTTGCATATTGAAGCACCATACGGGTGACATCAATATTATTGCTTTATTGACTTCAGCCAAAATCCCATTTGTTAAACTTTACAAGATGTGTAACAAGATGTAAAAATCAGCTGGATTTGTACTTTTCAATCTGATCATGCAGATACCTCTAACCCAGAGAACTTACCGCCAAGCGAGAAGAATTGAGCAAATATGTCCTTAAACTTGTCTTCGCTAACCATGCCTGTAGGACACTCCTAGCAACATATATTTTTTTGTTAAATGAAATGTTTAGCAATTCCTCCCATCATTATGATGTGATGGTGGTTAACATAAATTCAAGCTGCACAGTTATTGCAGTGATTCTTGCGTACAAGCAAGTTGTAAATAAATAAAACAAATGATGATATGATTAGCAGATTAGTACCACATCATTGCTTTAATTTTGGATAAGGCCATAACTTTTAGTTTGTGATATACCATATATTTGTATGGTATGTCACTTAAGTGACTTAACTAATGGTGTCATAGTTGTGAATAAGTGATATGACCTTATGTGTAATTACAACAAGTATGTGGAATGTGTATAGTAATCCTGAAACATGTAGTGATGTATAAGCACAATGTACACAGGTGGATCACAGGGTATGGGTTAAACTTACCCCCCAATGGAAAAAACTGGGCAAATATGGCCTTAAATGCATCTTCATTTACTATACCAGTGGGACACTCCTGTAATGAATATAAAAAATGAATTTTGTGATCATCAACCCCAAATTTATTTTGTTCACATCCTGAGACATGTATTTGTATTTTTGGCTTCTTGTTTTTTCCCATCAGCTCATCAGTGGCTTGCTCCTTTTGATGATTATTTCCAAATAAATCACCATGGACACAAACTGTCAGAAGACTAGCTATATATTCTTATCATGCAAAACAGTCATCCATAACAATTTGGGTAAATAATTTATTCTCTTAGACAGTATTGTATCATGTTATTGGGTTCATTTGTAACATATAATAAAGCTACTGCTGGGTAAGTTAGTAACCTATTTATGTCAAAACTCCTTTGGTTCTTGTTGTAAATGGGATATGCAATTGATACAAATGCAAGTCCATTAACTGTTGGAAAGTTATTCAAAACATGAATGATTAGGTGGATATTCCCCAATTCAAAGTGATGACGGAAACCAGCCTAATCCTTGAATATAATTCACCAAGTCCCTTGCTACCTTATTATGCATTGGATGGGAGGCAGAGATATATAACTAGTTAGTAAATGAGGATATAAACATGGGTTATCATTTGATAATTCATCTCCCATACTTTCTTCCATTCAGGAATCAATAGTTCGTTTAACTGAGCATTGATACAATGTCACACATAATCTTTGGGATTTACATATTGACATCAATGGCCTAAATTACTTTAATGAGTTTCTGTAATTGGTTACTAAACATGAGTGCAGATGAGAGTACAAAGCTTGACTATCAATCAGTTATGAGTTCCCAAAAGACAACTTAGTTGCCTGTTTTACATGCTATGACTTCTAAGTTATCTGCTAAATTGGTTTAGATTATCTATTCCAAAATGGTTTTATATTGCAATAAAGCATGCTTTGAGCTAGTATCTACCTATATTGAGTTACTTGATACAATCCGAATTCAACTTACATGACCAATACTAACGTATTTTTCAACCAGAATATTTTTACATTCATGAATATTTTGTCCATATTTGTCATGATTTGCTTCATCAAGAGTTGTTATGAAACTTAGAGGAGTGTTTTGTGTAGCATTGAGATTCAGTTAATTAACACAACATACTGGGATTCCTTGAGGAAAAACTGCAAATTGGATACTGGAAATTGGATTGATTTATAACAATCGCACATTGATAATTCTCATTTGAATTCCAATTTCAACGGTCTTTATTATATTTTTTGGAGGTTTCCATTTTTACATATTCTGCATTAGTGTAGTCAATTTCTGTTTCTGATTAGAGAAAATCTGCTTCCATAATGACTTGTTTCATCATTATAATTTATAATATTTGCAAATGCTATCTTCACACATATAAAAACATGTAATAAGATCACCCTACTAAATTCATTTTGTACTTTTGGAATGTGATTCCAGCAAATGCTATTCAACCTAATAAGCACATGAACATTCCCATATGACTGGTTCAACAGTCTTGGTTAAACTATAGTCAGGGAATCAATCATATACATTTGTTCCTGGGGGTATTATGTATGAACATGTAATCAGATGCATTAATGGGATTGTTTCATTTGATAACTGACATTGCAATCTGATAAATTCAAATATTTCTAAGTAAATTATGTGGCTGTGTTCAAAATACCAATGTTTCTCACTGCAGAAAACTGCTTGGGTTTAGCCTATGGCCTTATGGGTCATCTTTATTTCAAAAACTTAAACAGTAAAACTGATCTGACTCCTCACCAAGAATATTTCATATTATTTTCTACAAATATGGGTTAAACCAAACAATTTGCCTGTAAAATAGTTGCTACTTTTCCTTTCAATAAATGTAATAACAAAGCAGAAAATAAAAAATAAACTATTTTGACATTTCATCAATAAAATATGAGAAGGTTCAATCGAGGCAAAAAGTAGTTCCTGGGACTAATGTTGGGAACATCCATTTGTTGTAATTGTGTGCTGTTACTTACTTGGCCATAGGATATATAAGGGCTAATAAATTACAATTACAATACAGTAATTGACAACAACAATTCAGTATATAATACAGACAATTTCCTAGAAAAAGTAGACAAAAACATACTGTTAATATTGCACTACATTAAAATGTGATCAGTGAAGTACAATTCTTCATTTTTTAATTATTTCATGCCATTACAGGATTATTATATCCATCACAATTCTCTTATGAATAATTTAATCCAACAAACGTTATACTGGCATTTAATCATGATGAAACCAAAAAGTAAATAAATAATACCGTGGGTACTGGGCTCACATGGTGTTGCTCAAAAGTGAATGATGGCTAAAATGGCAGAAAAAATGGATATAATTCTTTGCAGATTTTTTGTAACAAAATTATTTCATACTACTACTCTTCACAGTGACATGGCTTTTTACAATGCATGACATCTGAAATTTTTGAACCAGGAGTCAAAGGGGATTTTCTGTATTTATGTTGAACAAAAATAATTTAAAACGGGAATCATATCAACATAGGTTTAATAGTAAATGGTCCAAAAGTGAATTTCGCGTGACAAAAATGGTGGCCATTTTGAAAATAGGCGAGCCTTTGAAAAAGGAGTCATAGGGGTTCTTTTTATATTGATTTTGGACAAAAATAACTCAAAACAGGAAGGAGGTATTAAAATGGGCCAATTGTTGAGATGGACGGACAGACAGACAGATGGGCAAGTGAGTGATTGCAATAGCTCACCATGTGAGCTAATAAAAATACTATTGAAGTTTGTAAGACTTCATCATATGTGCTTAAGTTCTTATTGATATGATGAATTGTTCATGTCATATGTGTAATTGTGAATAAGGTACTGGTACATAATACTTACTTGTTTAAATCCTCGGTACATGATCTGAAGCTCTTTTTTGGTAAATTTTGTTGTTTTACATAGTTGGTCCAGGCCTTCAGGCTTGTACCGAACTACTTGCATTTCCAAGTCATCTAAGTCATTGTCTGAAAGCAAAATTTAATTTCTTTAATACACAATTGAAAAAATAGGTTCTCGTAAGCATTAAGTTCACCAGGATTTATAGTGAATGCATCATACAAATGAATTACAGATAACTACGATGGATCATTTGAACATACAAACCATCATATGCCAAATTTCCAATTTACCATTGATCTCCTTGATATCAATGTGCTCTCAGATTTTCATGAATGGAAATATTTCAAATATTTTTCAATCAATGGTACAGAAAAAGGCAAATATAGAATGAACAATTAATTATTAAATGATTAAGGATAATGTCAAACCCAGTGGATGAAATGTATCTAATATAAAATGTACACAATGCATGCAAAATCCCAATTACTTACACTTGCAATATATTGAACATATCTCATTGGAGCATTTTGCAAGTTCAATGACTTGCAAATTACTAAATAGTTCAAAGTCAAGAATGGATTTTATACAATTGTATTTCAATCAAGGCAGTATCAAAAGAGATTATCAATATCATAATGTAGAATATCTATCTTTAAAATACATGTAGGTCACTGTCTAAATCTCTCATTATAACATATTGTGATTTTCTCTTTTTACCAAAATGTTAGAAATTCTGTCAGGCATCATGATTCAGCTTTAGTTCCTAGGTTTGAAATGTAAATTCAATTTTTGGTAAGGGGTCACTTGCAAACCATTTAACCAGGAATCAATCAGAAAAACACAAGAGGATTTGTTTATAAACTCTATGAACCCATAGAAATAATCCCCAAAATAAAAGAGTGATTTTAATGTGTTGATTAAGAATGAAATCCATCTTGCAAAACATCACTTATGTAAAAAAAAACAAATAAAGTGCTGGTTAAAACCTCAATCATAATATAGTATATATGATATAATATATATGGGTATTCTGTTATTAAAATAAACAAGTATACAGGTATTCTGTTATTAAAATAAACAAATAATGTATACATACTTGAAGAGATCAACAAACTTCAACAAGAGTAAAAAGTTCTTTAAAACATTTAACACCAAAAACATAACATAAAACATGAGAAAAATGTATCACAGAAATATTTGAAAAGTTAATCTAAACTTCATGACAGAAATAATAATATGTTTATCTTAATATATTATGTAGTATACATACTCCCTTTCTTTGCATTGGGTGTCATCATTTTAGTGACAGTATTAAGCCAATTAGACAAATCCGCCATTGTTTCCTCTCTGTTACTATCAAACTACTAAGTGATATTTTATTTTCTGTTAATCTCTAATACTGCAACATTGTGGTTGCTATCGTCCTATATAACATATATATTTTCTCCAACTAGCACAGTTCTTATTTTTCCTTCTGATGCAAGTTAAATAACATATCGCAGCAATGTCCAGGTTTACTCAAAGCTGCCCGTAGATACTATTTTTGTACTGAAATATTCTTCACAGATTTCTAGTTCAAAGCCTAGCACATCCCCAAGGCCAACAAAGAATGGACTTATGTTAATTTACAGTACAGAGGCAACAAATTAAAATCATCCAATACAAGCTTATCTCACTTATCAATGGAGCTAGTCGATAATCCAGTGATGCCTGCCACAGATTCTAATTAAGCAATGTACCTTCGGTATGAAACATGATCTCTGTCAAATTCCACAATTGTCTTGTACAATATTAGACCATAGCAACATCCAGAATGGCTTATTATGTTAGATTTCTCATTTTTAGGTTTTGTTTCTATATATTATGTCACATAATCGGAAATGAAAGTATAAATATTTTAGTGAGAAATTTTGACTGGAATCAGTTATTTTCGGGTGTTGATTTCAATTCCATTCAATTTATTTTTATGGAATAGAATCTTAGATTTCTAAAATGCCCCTCTTCATATTCCTTGTGATTTTTAGTGGGGTATAAGCTATATTATCAATCAGATAAAACAGACACAATGGAATTATCCATCAAGTATAAACAGAAGTCCCATTCTTTGTCTGGATAAATGTTAAATGAATTGTACTTGTTCAGTCTGATGTATCTTACCCAATGCAAATAAGTTAGCAATTTCCATTTAAAATAAAGAGATCGAGTTAATTCAATAGAATTAAATATGTGTGCTACTCATTGACCTGCAATTAAGCTGCTTGTTCATGAAGTTGTGAATCAACAAGATGGAAGCTCCATGAATTTATATGAAGTATATCCAAAGAGGTAGCAATCAAATGTTTCACTTACACACAGACTCTACTCATCTACTAAGTAAAAAATACTTAAATTTATTCCAGGATCGATATGGGTAATACTGGATCGATGAGCATTTTAAAATTATCAATTTTATTATATGATGCCTTGGGATATTTTGTTATCTAATAAGTGATCCACTGATTCTAACATTAGCATCCAAGTATTGATTAAGACTTGCATGTAAGAAAGTAATGCATATATTAAAAGAAGAGACAGGTATACTTTGTCGTCAACTGAATATGTGTGTGCAGTCATACATGTACATGTGTCATTAGTCTTAGTTTGGAAAATAGGATCAATTAATTACAATACATGTATGAACAATAATACATCATGAAAATATGAATGTTCACTAAGGTTTATTGACTTTTTGTCAGCATCTTCCACATGTACAGCTGCAGAAGATACTCAAGAGGTGCTTTAACTAAATGTTTCTCATGTATTGAAGTTACACAATTGGAAATTTCAAAAGAACAACATTTTAAACCAAATTAAAATCATCATTATTAACAATATTCTTTACAATATTCTTTGAAAAACCAGATGCCCTCTCAGGGATTGCACTAGAATTTCTCACAACAGGCTAAATAAATGAAAACAACAGGCAGAATTAATGGAAATCATAAATTTAACATGGAATAGTTGAAAATACCCTAAAAACAACAGGTGATTTTTTGAAAACAACCAGTGAAAATAACATGTTGCCTGTTGCTAATGAAAGCCCTGCCTCTTATGAATTTGGACATTTTTGCATCTTAAATCTTCGATAACTATAATGTTTAGATGACCAGAAATATCAATTCATTTCTCTTATAATCAATAAAAGCATAAGGATAAATAGACATGAAGATTACACAAGATTGTGTTAATCATTCTTTTCTTTCGGCAAGGGTTTCCACTAATTTGTAACAATAACAGAGTTCTGAAAAGTGTCAACATTAATTTTGTTACATGCTGTTATGCGATAAGCTATGAGCTTTGATTGCATCATTTATCATCTTTAAATGAGCCTCAACCCTACATATCAATTAAGGACCACAGACCCCTGTTCATCCACTGTTACCTCATTAGCATTAAAGAAAAAAACTCCAAATCATGTTTATGTTAGTAGCTGTTAAGGCTATACAGTTTTCTGGAGGACATTCTTTTTCTCCATAGCTGATGAGCCTTATGTGGTAATACTGCATATCTTGATACAATATGACAAAATGAATGTGTATATGATTTAATACTGATCATACTTAATAACCGATCAATTTCCAACTAGATAACTGCAACACCAAACGTAGCAAATCCCAGTGAACAGCCATGGCTGCCATTTTTGAAACTGGACTACTATTAGCAAAATTGTCATACGCTTCTAAGTATTTACATAATCAACAAAATCACTCAACCATTTTCCAGTTATGGCAAAACATAAAATAACACATAAAAATGGCTGCCTATTAGCTAAATTGTCATTAAATAGTGTAATATTCTTTTAAGTTTTCACATATAAAATTTCTTACTGCTCCCCTGCTTTTCCATTTATAGCCAACAATGTAAATTAGCACAAATAAAAATGGTGCCCATTTTTTAAAATGGCCACTAACTAGCCAAATTGTCAAAAGAAAGTGTAATATGTTTCTTATTACTGTATTTGTCTTTAATTTGGCGAGTGTTTTAAGTTGGCCGGGCAAATTAAATAAATTGCCAATTTTAATAGGAGCCAAATTGCCCAGGAATATGGCATATTTTGCATTTGGTGAATTTCAAGTTATAAAAAAAGATACCAAAATTGCCGGGCCGTTTAAATTGATAGAAACAACAAGAAATATTGAATAAATTTATACAAACAAGAAATATTGAAGAAATTGTTCATCAATAACACGGACAATGAGTATTTTGATTTTTGTTTGACAGGAGAATGTCGGGGACACTAGAAAAAGCCAAATTAAATAGACAGCAATAGGCCCAAAAATACAAAATTGCCAAATTAAAGAAATTTTTTTAGACCATGTTTAGTTTAAGAGTAAAAGAATCATACAATCTTTTCACACAGATCAAATTAGACCAACATTTGTACCTCTGCACCATGTAGGTAGATTATAATAAGAAATTTTATTTCTATTGTCATATCCATTATTATATTAATTAAGCAACTTAAACTTCTGGCCTAAAAAGTCAAAATTTAATGAGTATATCACCAAATACTGTACTCCTAGTGCTATGAAATATTCTTTCAATATATCTAGTGCCTGTAGTAAATATTAGCCAAGGAATTTGGTTGGTCTATATGCCACTGGATCTGTCAATATAGATATCAGTAATATTCACGATATGGTCTGATTGTAACACTATGAAGTAAAAATTATATATTGCAAAATATTAAAGTCAGAAACAATGAGCAAGAATTGAAGAATGAGTTAAAGAGTATGATTACTCTACATATCAAAGAACTAGTAAAAAGTAAAATAACCTTCTGTATAAACTATTATGGATGAACGCTAGATTGTTTGGTAGAGAACCCACTTGGCAATATCAGAAAATGTAGAGAGTGTCTTCATCTATCTTATGCATTATTTAATGGTCTCCATAATCAAATTACAAAGACAGAAAACCACAAGGGGTATATATATTGCTTGAGCTATGGTTAGTAAAGCCATTGTTGATTATTAGAAATGCATTTGGGTATACTTTAAGCATTATTTATTACTGAAAAGTGGTGGGGCTCTGTAAAGTTAATTAACAATTTGGTAGCTAAATTGAAGAAACGGTTCCTTTGTTCCAATCACAAGGCAATTTGGTGACCTATAAAAGAGCAGAAAAAACTTTTTTTTTCAAAATATCCATTTATAACCATATATTTACATTATCATATTTTTCTATAAATAAGGTCTTTCAAAAACACTTAAACAGATGAACTTTAGTTTACATTTGTGTTAATTCCTATGTAATAAATATAAAAAAATATCATTTGTCATTAAACATAAATATTTTTTGAAATTTTGTAAGAAGTTTAACATTAGCTTGCTTGGTGATACATTTTCATTTTCAAACAAATACAAAACAGAAAGTTCATTTTGTATTAAAAAGTTTTAATATCTAATAATTGACTAATTTTGAGGCCTATTCACTCTAATATCCTCCTAATAATAAGCTTAACAGAAATTTGGAGCCCCATAAACATTGACGCCAATAGAGAATTTGCTGCAGAGGCTCAACAACAAATGATTTATCTTAGCTTCATCAATAATTAAAGTCACCAAGGATGAGGTACTATCTGTCTCTTTCAATAAAGAAGAATTTCTGGTATAAGTAAGTAAAACAATGAAAACAGTTGTGATATAACTTGTTTGTTAGGATATTTGTTTTGTTTTGTATTTGTCTTATTTTGCAATCGATTAGCTCTTATAAGTATGATAAAGTGTTTAAATATATGAAAACAAGTCAATGTTGTATTATTATTTCGGTAACCTACATTTTCTGTTAAGACGAGAGATAAGTGTACTGCCATCTATTAATTATCCAAAGTTCAAAGATATACAACTCCAATCTATTTCTGAATTGCATGTTTGCCATCTATCATACAACTAATAAGGTCGAGGGATATTTCAGAGGCCTACTATCTACCATTCCATAAGGAGTGTTTCAAATGAGATGTTTCAGTATTGTATGAAATGAAGTATCAATAATTTGTTAATATACTGGTTATGGTTATTTCACTGACATTACATTACAGATGCAATGTTTGGAAATCCCAGTTAATTATGAACCAGTAGAGTGTAACAGACAAAGCCACAAAAAACATAACATTTTTTATACCATATAAAATAACCAATGTGAAATGTTATATACTTTAAATAATGAACTCTAAGGTAAATCAATATTCCATCTACACATTATGCCAAGTTGCAATGTCAGAGTAACCTACACTTAAGCACGCCCAACACAAGCTTTCATTAATCAAGAAAGAAACAAGAAGTTGAAATAAATATCACCTTTGCTAGCTAACTAATAGGTTCAACCAATAACTAAAAGGTCTTGGAGGTGGAATTTCTATTCCATGATAAATTTGTACTGTTAATACTAAAATACGTATTTCCTCTTAGTTTAGTCAATTCCTGTATGACTATAGAATGTTAACATCTTCATAAAACAGACATAATGTCTAATATCATATAACTAGTGTTTACATTGTTTTTTAAAGGTATGCCATGGGGGTAATTTTGAACACCTGCTTTGTATGCCTAGAATGTCTTGTACAACTGGTGGTGATTTTTTAGTAT